AAAATTTAGCTTGAGATCTTCTAAGTTATTGCTATGTTGAATGGCTTTTCTCATTGAAACCTGGACATTCTCAGAATTGTGTTATGAGACTCTGGATTGTACATAAACATTTTACTTTGCTTGTTTTGTTTGCTTATTTGTTTCTATGACATTGCTCCAGCAGAAAATCATACTTTGTTATTGTCAGGTGGAGGTAAAAGTCCTCCCACTCATCCTTTCCTGAACTGAGGAGGCAGGGGAAGAAGGGTGCTCCTCATTGCTTCTGCTTGGAGTTGGAACTTTTAGGATTTTGTCATGCTATTGGCTTTGTTACACTGACAATGGTAAAATGCTTGGGTTTCCATTTTGCTTCCTTTGACATCATTCCCCCATCCTGAGGGAGCACTTCATCACTGCTATGTAAGGATGGCAGCCCACAATTCACGAACACCATGGGCTCAGTAGCTCCTTACTGGTGGGCGGGGATGAAAATTCCAGCTAGGTACTAAGCCTTCACTGACACCATTCTGGTGGAAGTATTAAGGTGCCTCATGAGGGTGGAAGTTTAGGCTTCCACTTGGCCTTTGATGGTATGGATAGGTGTTGCTAGAGTTCTTTTCTCTTATGTTTAGCTGGAATAGAGCAACATGTGAAAGTTCTTTCTTTTTTGCTTTCTTTCTTTGCTATATTTAAAATCCTTAGACTTAAGAGAGAGAAAAAAAAATTTTTTTTGGGGGGGGAGGCCTTTCTTTCTGTACCTATTGGTATTTCTGGGTTGCTGACCTTTTTAGCTCCCAGTCCAGGATATCTGAAGCAAAAAAAAAATCCAAAGAATTCACTGCTGTGTTGTCTGGTGTGTCCTGACTTCCATAGCCAGTAAGCCTTCTTCTTTCCACCTGTCAGAGTCTTCTAATGCTTGTTTTATATATAATATCCATGGTTTTTAGTTGTTGTATTTAGTGAGAGGAAAAGAGAAAGACATGTCTCCTCCATCCTCCCAGAAGTGGAAGTTCATGTCTATCTTTTTATTCACTGGGAAAATTTAGAGTATTTTATTATAATCAAAGTAATCATTAGGCATAGAACTTGAGAATGTTAAGAATTCCCAGAGGCCACAAAAGTGTTTGGCAATAACTTAGATATCAAAACCACATTAAAAAAGTTACTGCTATGTTAGCATACAGAAAAATCTAGCACCCCATAAAACAGAAGATATATCAGCACCCCCTTGTATGCTGGTCAGTGAAAGTTTGTTCCCTGATTCTGAGACAAATCCTAGATGCTTATTGGATTTTTTTGTTCTGTTTTTGCTAAGGCTCACTATGCATTCATGCATCTCCAATGCCTTCTCTGGCTCATGGGGACTGAGGGTTATAATAAAACTATTTACACAAAGTTGTTCATGACTTACTATGTTACTCTTCCAGTAATATTTGCATTTTAAAATAGGGATAGCACAAAAAGGGTAATGTTCAGCAAAAGAATAGACCTCATAGTGTTTGCTTTCCAAAATCTGTATGTGAATTTTCTGAGAAGGAAGAAGAGATTTGTCAGAATTCTTCAAATTGTAAGAAATTATTTCACTTCACATTTAGACTAGCCCTGATAGGGATACATATTATTTTTCAAATATGTTGCTGATCTTAAATATCTTTATTTTCTGTATACATTCATGAGGTATTTCTATGTGAAAAGTGTGTGTATAAGAGTATGAGTACACTATATTCTGCTTGATTAAAAAAATCTGGCTTATGGCATAAGAAGAGGGATTGGTTACATAGGCAATCATAGTGTCTTGGTTGTTCCAACTGTAAAGAGTCTCTTCTATTCATAGAAACCCAGCAGAGCAATTATGAATGTGGGTCTAGGTTCAGTGAGGCCTGATCAAATCCCTGATCTGCCTTTTACCAGCAGTATTGCTTCAGTAACTTTCTAAACCCCAATTTTCTCATCTGTAAAATATTCCTCATCCTATTATCTATCACATAAGATAATTCATGTAAAGTGCTTAGCATCGTGCCAGACATATGACACAGATGCAGTAAATGTTAGGTATTAGGGTTATAATTTTGGACTAATTAAGTAAATATCCTGTTAAGACAGTGTATTGGTCTGGAGATAGGGCATCAGTGTTGTATTTTCTTCCTGGAAAAATGCTCTGCAGGAATGAGAGGCTAGAGACCTTAGGTGATGGGAGAGAAGCTTGTGATCGCATGAGGACCAAGTCCACCCGCTTTTGGATCTATCTACTCTTAACTTCTCTGAAGGTTGAATTAGAATATAAATCCTTTATAATGTTGAGACTTTTGGATTTACTCTAGATAATATCTTGTACCTCTCTCCTAATCACATCATTATTGTCTTAAGCCATTTCAAAATGAGAGATGTATAAGTGAAGCATTCATTAAGACATGTTGGGGGCCAGGGGAAAAATGCCTGAAAAGCAAACATTTTCCTTGAGCTGGTAATTTTGTAAACATGAGCTGATTTGTCAAAATGCTAGTCATGTTTGGAAATAAAGCAGGTTTATTTCTTCAGCCACACTCCATGATTACAGGAAAGAATGTGCCTACTTTTTACCACTTTGCCAAATCTCAGATATCAGATAAGCTTAGTCATGGTCTCAGAAAACTGGGCGAATCTGGGTTTCCAAAGCAGCAATGCTGCTATTTTCTGCAAATCTAGGATTGTGGAAGAAAAAGGCATTGTGAGCATGTGCTAGACTCTGTAATGCCTATGGGTGAAGGTTGACTCACAGCATCTCCCTGAAACTCATGTTAAAAGTTAGCAGTACAGTGTGACTCATATATGAGAAACCCTCCAACCACCCTCAGCCTGTCTTTGGTCTCTCAGAATTATTAGGAGTTCTGGAACACCATCGTGTGCATTTCGTAGCTTCAGGTAGCTCAGCCCAGCATAGCATATAATATATAAAAGACACTATATCTGTTGAGGTTGATTTAATGAAATTAAATTAAATGGAAGAGAAAGCTCATTTTCTATGGAATGAGAATCAGAAGGAATCAGCATTTTTGAGGACTTTTCATGTGCTAAGAAGAAGGGGATGGTACATAGTTGGTAAGATAAAGTGTTATGGCAAAGAATGGAGGAACATGAAGAATTTGTAGTTGTTATCACCCTAAGCCTGGACCATTTATCTGGATAATTAGCATGACTCCAGCCATGTGATTCTTTTACTCTATTTAGGGGAAAAGCAAGGTATAAGAGGTATGTGGCTGTGGAAGGAGGAAGATAACTTTCATTGAGAACTTACTATATGGCCAATATGTTCATCGGTTTTTATAGATTCTCATTTCATTTCCTCGATACCTCTCAAGTTAAGTTTTAAAGTGCAGTGATATTCCATTAGCACCCCTAGTCCTACAGAGCATCAGTGTCTGAGAATAAGACATTATTTTCTCAAAGAATATAGAGTTTAATAGCATCCAAGGAGGTGTTGTAAATGTGGAATAAAGGTGTGAGGCCACAAACACTTATTGAGCTATCTACCCACCATCTATCTATTATATATCTAGAAGTATTAATAGAGTTAGAAGAGAGAACAGGAACTCACAATACTGAAATGCTCTGACTTGGAGGGTCCCAACTACATCTGCCCACATTATTGATCTTATTATCTTACCCTGTGGGTATTAGCTGACTGGAAAATGTTACTAATGGAAAACAATCCTATCTAATAAAAGAGTAATATGCAAGTTGACTGTCACTCCAACACACAAGATGGCCACCCCCATGTAGTCAAAGATGGCTGCCCTTAGGTGCACACAAGATAGCTGCCACAAGATGGCCTTCAGGGGAGGGCAGTTGGGGATGATCAGGCCAGCAGGGGAGAGCAGTTAGGGGTGACTGTGCTGGCAGAGGAGGGCAATTGGGGCAGGGGGGAGGCACTCAGGCCTGCTGGGGAAGGCAGTTGAGGGGGACCAGGCCTGAAAAGGAGGGCAGTTGGGGGGGACCAGGCCTGCAGGGGAGGGTAATTGGGGAGACCAGGTCTGCAGGGGAGGGCAGTTATGGGTGATCAGGCCAGCAGGCAAGGGCAGTTAGAGTTGAGCAGGCCAGTAGAGGGCAGTTGGGGGAGACCTGGCCAGCAGGGAAGGCAGTTTGTGGTGACCAGGCTGGCAGGGGAAGGCAGTTAGGGGCAATAGAGCCAGCAGGGGAGCAATTAGGCATAGATCAGGCTGGCAGGGGAGTTGTTAGGGGGTGATCAGGCTGGCATGCATAAGTGGTTAGGGGCAATCAGGCAGGTAGGCAAGCAGGTGAGCGGTTTGGAGCCAGCAGTCCTCAATTGTGAGAGGGATGTCGGATGGGATTGGGCCTAAACAGGCAGTCGGACATCCCTGAAGGGGTCCCAGATTAGAGAGGGTACAAACTAGGCTGAGGGATACCCCTTCCACCCCCGCAACTCCTCGTGCAAGAATTTCGTGCACTGGGCTTCTAGTTATATTATTGTCCTGGAAGCAGATGTTGGTGATATGCGCTTAACCTTATCTTCCTTTAACATGCTGCCACATTTTTTTTCTTTTTCTTCTCCGCATGCCCACAGTTATTTTATTGGGTTGATGCCGACACATTTAGAGTACCCTGCTTATACTAAAAAAAAATAAATTCAGAATTTGTTTTCCTTTTTGCACCTATGCAGATGCTATTATTGGGATGACAGCCAGGCACCTTGGTGAATGTAAACTGTTGGAGCATCTAGGGAAGATTATATTTACAGCAGTATATATATAATTTTCAACATTTTATAAGGCCATCAGCACTTAATTACCTAAATTGGTTACTTATGTGTTGTTATTACTGGGGCCCAGAAGAAGACCTCGATTAAGATTTCAGGCCTATAAGCTACTGCTTTAAAAAATACCTTTAGGACCCTAACCTCTGGCAGGGCTTTGGACCCTCAGGGACTATCTAAGCAGTGGCTATATTGCATAGGAAAGGCAGGCGGACTGATTCTGGTTTTAAGACCTGGTGCATCTTTTCCATGCCCCTTCTCCTGGAATTACCTCTTAAGTCTGTGTGGGTTCCCCTCTTGCTGTTTTCCTTCTGTCACCCTTCTTTTCTGCATCAAATCTTCTAGATTTAAGATGGGAACTCCTTGTTGGCCAGACCCTGATTTATTCCTCTCAGTCTCTCCAGCATATGCTACACTGGATGCCCCATAAAATGAATGAATAAAGGGATGACATGAATTCTTTTTATGAATTATAAGATAATCTTTTTCAAACTCTGCTTAGACACAAATTGTTAGGGGCTCTCATTCACTCCATCAGGCAACCCTTTAATTTTAGAATTGTTTTTATGCTCCTAATTTAGAGGTATATTTGGCCACCCTGTAATTTGCACCATTTCCCTCTTGTTTTATTCTTTTGAAACCAAAGAGACCTGGAAGCCTCTTATATGCTTGTAGACATGAAATCCTCTGATCCAATTCACCTCTTTGCAGCCTAAACATCAACCTTTCCTCATAGGATGTGTTTTTCAGATCCTTTATCATCCCCTACCCCTTATTTCTGTAAGTTTGCTGATTTACCACATTCTCTAATTAAATGGTAGCACTTAGCTCTGGATACATTTCTTAGACATGGTTTGACCTTATGACTTGGGTCTTCTTGTCTGCATTGGTCTACCATTCTGCTAACTACTGATGTCAAGGAACTTAGAAAAATGCAGCTCAAATTAAATATATATATATATTGTATATATATATATATATGTATGTGTACATATATATATATATATATATACTCTTCCTTCCTTAATTGATCATGCTTCTATCCTGAATCCCTTCCTAACTTCCCTGCCATATTAAACTACTTAAAAGGAAACTTCACAGAATGTCCCTGTCATTCCTAAAAACAGGTGCAAGAGGTTTTCAAGCTCCTCCTTACATTCTCACCCAGGTCCCTATCCTGATTGTCCTCTTTGCCTAAAGTAAAAAATGCTTCCTAAAAAACAGCATTCCTCAACTCCAAACTCACATCTCTATAAAAGTACCATCCCATAGAGAAATTAAAATAAGAGATGAAGAAAGCATTACTCTCTTTGTGCCTTTTGACAATATGACCATCATCTTTGCCTCATCTCACTACACTGTTGCTGTTTTGATCCTGGAAGTTGGGCAGAAAAAAGAAAGTAAGAAATTGCTTTACTCTTCCCAATCTTTTTAGTATTCCCTCTTTATTTCTCCTCACATTGAGCCACATAATATCTTCTACTCCTGAGGTGGGATATGAAAGAGAAGGAAGGCTGACATTGTGCATAGTAGAATGGGAACCATCTGTGGCGTTTAACTGGTAATTTAATGCCTATTAACATAGCCCCAAATTACATTGATTTCTTTGCCCAGCATTAGATAGTGCAGATTCCACTTGTGGCTATGAAAAAAAAAAAATCTATTTTCTATGCTTGTTCAATTGCCATTGTGGCACAAATTCAGGATTAAAAATTCATCTTTTTGCTTAATGTAACTTGCTAATAATTAAATATTTAAAGTCTTGGATTTGACTGTGGAAACAGTTTGGATCTGATTGGTAAATAAAATTTAAGGTGTTATTTTTTTTGGTCATAAGTTGTTGAGAAGTATTTATGTAAAAAACTCTAACCCATTTTATTCTACTTGTTTATACTTTAGTATTATTGCTTTATGATCAAACTGTATAAAGTAAAACTACTTTTTTAGAGGTTATGGTTTCTTCGTGAATATAATTCTACCATTTTTAAAGTTTTAAATGCATGACTGAAAAAAGATTACCTTATTTTGGCCACAGAGTTTGATATATAAATCTACTTACTTATCCTTATTAATCCAGATTCTCATCTTTGGTTTCTTGTTATTGATTCTTTGCTTAGTTGAACTGTCAAAAACTTGATCATAAGCTCTGTCTTTTCAATAAAATTATGTTTATGTTTATTTCTCCTTGAAATCTAATTATTTTTATTTATGTATTTTGTTCTATTCAACTCATATAATTTTGTGACTATTATATATTTCTTATAGATTATTTTCTTATTGATATATAATGTACTGCTTTGTCCTCTTTATTTTTTGATTTGAATTCTAATTTTTCTTACACCGATATTGCAAACATGATTTGCTTGTTATCTGCTGGTAACTAATGCATTTTTTTTACTATCCTTTTTACATTAAATATAGTGCTTTTGATAACTGTCACCTATAAATTTCTATTTAGATTTTTTAAAATAACTTTGTAATTATTGTTATGGAGTCAAACCCTGAAATCAAAATAAGACTACCAGAGGCTGCTAATTGATTAAAAAAAAGGCAAGGATTTATTGAACTGGCCAGGATGGCCGCGAGAGCACCACATGCAGGTAGTGTCTACATTCACGACCATGCTGTTCCAAGTGTAGGTAGTCCTTTTAAAGGTCTAAACCAAAAAATGTTTCCTTTGTTCTAAATTCTAAATTCTAAATGCTAGGAACGGCTCCCAGTCACATCCTGCTGGACGTTGGAATGTGGACCTATCTTGCGATAGCAGATAGTACAGAAGCAGAGCTGAGCAGTTAATCTCTAAAGGTCATCTACAGTTTCTACTTCTGAAGCTACTGAGTCAGAGGGAATCAACCACCTGTGATTCTGGTCCACAGTCACAGGAAAATTGCCTTAGCTTCCAAGTCTCAATCTGGAAGCTGAGGCAAATACCCTATTGTTTAAGCAAGTAAGCGAGTGCCAAAGCCAGAATAGCAGGGTTAAAATTCAAACAGCAGTTTTTACCTAAGTATGGTTGCGATCATACTTCAATTATTAATTTTATAAGAAAGTTTAAACAATTTACATTTTTGGGGCGTCACAACTGAAGTGCATTTATTTTTTTCTGCCATCTTTTTAGGCTATCTGCTTTTGTTATTTCTTTCTTTCTTTTGAAAAGATTAATACATTTGATCAATGAAAAATGTCTTAATATAGATGTCAAAAATCAAAACACCTTAAGCAAAACCAAAACACAAATGGCCAACTGAGAAAAATATTTACAATATGTGGTACTGCCAAAAGATTTATGCCCTTATTCTTTCAGGACCTCTTACAAATCATTTGAAATTATAGAAAAGGCCAAATGAAATATGCAAAATATTCAGGAAAAGAAAATTCTTAAAAAAGAAAAAAATGAGTTTAATAAATATATGAAAAATACTCAAACTCACAAGTTATAAAGAAAATATAAATAAAAGTAATAATTTGCTAGCAACTTTTAACCTATAACACTGGGAAGTCTTTTTATCAGAATACCTAGAGTTTGTTGATTTAAGTAGAATAGGCTATTTCGTAAGCAAAATTTACGAGAGATAATATTAAAATGTATACCAAAAGCCATGACAATGTGAATTCTGTTTTCCCTACCAAATTTAAAAATATGTCAAAGAAAATAATAAGAAATATGCACAAACATATATCTCTAATTATATTGATCACTGACATTAAAAATTATAAAAATGTTAATAACAAAATTAAAAATTTCAGTTAAGAATTGGTTAAATAAAATAAATTTGCAAATGCAACATGAGGCTGCCATTAGAAATTATGTTTTTGAAGAATGTTTAATAGTCATACAATATTTTATGTCAACAGCATGTCATAAAAAGTTTGTATACATTGCAAAATCAATTTGTAGTTTGTGTGTGTTTATATATACATATATATGTGTGTAATTGTTTTATATTCAATCTCACTAAGATATTGTTCTCTTTAATAACCTGTGTCAAAATGCCAAGTTTATTTATTTATTTTTTTAATATATTTTATTGATTTTTTACAGAGAGGAAGAGAAATAGAGAGAGAGGGATAGAGAGTTAGAAACATCGATGGGAGAGAAGCATCGATCAGCTGCCTCTTGCACACCCCCCACTGGGGATGTGCCCGCAACCAAGGTACATGCCCTTGACTGGAATCGAACCCAGGACCTTTCAGACCACAGGCTGACTCTCTATCCACTTAGCCAAACTGGTTTGGGCAAAATACCAAGTTTAAAATAGCTACTGGGTATACTGCAAAGACTTTAAAACACATAAATACACACATACAACAATACTACTATATAAGATGTAGGAGGGTCAAATAGTCAAGTGAATTATTTCTTAGTAAGTTACCAGCACCAATCATTAGTTGTTTGTCACCTTAAGAATCGAAGATTGAAAAACTGTAGGGTAGAAATATAGGCCTAGAACATTTTGATTAGGTTGGAAAGAAGACAAAGTTCAACATTCATAATATTTTCTTCAAATATTCACTGAGCACCTCCTCTGGGATTAGTACTCTAGAGTAAGGTGCTCTCTGTATCCTTCTAGTTCATAATCTAGTGGAGAGTATGGGCACTTAGGTGATTATAACTCAAGACAATCTGCAGTGCTGCATAAGAAAGCAAAACTGGAGGGTCACTCCATTTCAGTGCTTCGGCCACTAAAGGTGCCAGGCATCTGCAAGGCATCAGGGTGCCTCAGGGGAAAAGAGGGTGGAGGCAGTAAAGACCTTGTCTGCCAACTTCACAGTTTTGCCTCTGACCAACTTTATTACTCACATATGCAAAACTGAGCCTCAGGATCTGGATGCAAACTCACTGAGCTCTTCTGCAGCATGCCAGTACTGCTAACAGAGCCATCAGTGTCTCCAAGGAGGGCTCAGAAAGAGTGTGATCCTAAAACACAAATGTAGATCTATAATAGTGAGGCTGTGTAGTACAGTTCACATGCGAATAAGTGAGGGCCCCACTGATCACTCACTGACAGACCTTGGGCTAATTATTTACATCGTTGAGCATTAGTTTCCTTCTACTTTGCATGGGGATAATAATATATACTTTTAAGTTTGCTGTGAAGATAAGTGAGATACTTTTTGAGAGTGTTCCTAATTCATATTTAGCTTTGCACAATTGTTAATTTCCTTCTTTCTTTTCCAGCGCCCATCATTTACCTTGCCTTAACTGGATGGAAATTCTGTAGTGTTCACTGTGGTTAATGGCGATTACAGTCTCCTTCATCTCTTACTGTTTATTATATGAAACTACAAGGTTGTCTAGTTTAGACGAGAATGTTTCCATGAACCACATGTGACAGTTGATAAACTTTGATTAATAATTTGTTGTCATAATTTTTTAAGAATTTTAAAGATTCAATAGGATTATTTTTAATAATCAGCTAGA